GAGAGAGGATGCGGGTGCATGAACATGGGTCAGAGGAGCACAGGCGTGCTGGGAAGAAGGGGTTGGAGGCTCAGGGATCACTCAACCTGAGGGTTCCCATGAGTGTGGATGGAGAAATAGAAATCCTTAGCCTGCTCCTGGGCTTTTTAACATTCCCAATAAAATACTCACTGCTAAGGGTCTTTATATGGGTTAACTCTTGAGTAAATTCCTTAGGAATTTCAGTTTGTCTTGTAATACTTTCATTTTGGTTTTAGCAATCATGTTGCTGTGACCACAGCTTAGACTAGATATAAGGAAGATTTTTTTTTACACTGAGGGTGGTGAGACACTGGCCCAGGTTGCCCAGAGAGGTGGTAGATGCCCCATCCCTGGAAATATTCAAGGTCAGGTTGGATGGGGCTCTGAGCAACCTGGTCTGGTTAAAGACGTCCCTACTCACTGCAGGGGGTTGGACTAGATGGTCTTCAAAGGTCCCTTCCAACCCAAACCGTTCTGTGATTCTATGATTCTATAACCACAGTGGTCTGAGGATAGAAGGGGAATGAGGTTTGCAGTAGCTCCCTCTTGAGAAAAATATGAGAAAACATGTTTTTCTTTTCTCTTGGGTAACTGTTAGGAAGGGGAGTATTTGTATCTGAGGTGATGCTCTGGCTTCTCAGGTAGATTATACAAACTTCTCCTAAAAATTCACATAATTTGAAATCTTAAAAATCAATTAAAAATGTAAAAATATACCTATTTATCTGTAAATGACCCTGCAGAAATTATTTGGATCTATTAAGCAGCATTTGAAACAAAATACATTTTTAGAAAACTTGATTTACCATACAGTCTGTCTAAAGAAATATAATGGCCTTCTGAGTTGGACAAGAGGGTTTTTTAAAGTGAGTTCCTGGACATTTTTGTTTTAAAAATTATTAGTAAGAAAATGAGTCAACAAGGAAATTCACATACAAAATCTGCACTTGAGTAACATTAAAGTCCCTTCCCAAATGTTGGGAGATTCACCTTATGGCTAGTGCTCTGTTCCTACATCTCAGGGTCACGTTATGAAAGGCCACCTGCACAGAGATTGCAACGTCTCAGCCACGTCTCCTGCTCAGAGACATGAACTCATGAGACAACTTGAACTCACACTTGGACTTGAAGTACCAAAAAATTGACTGTGGCTTCAGGTCCCAGTTTCAGGGATTGCTCTGTCCCACAGGTGGGGTCATTTGCAGAATTTCTCTACAGATCTAGACCCAGATTCTAAAAAAAAAACCCAAAAAACAAAACAAACAAAGAAAAAAAAGTCCAAAAGTTTCTTGGAGACCAGATCCCAGGATCTGGTCCAAGGCCACAGCTTCACTTTCAGCACAGATACTTCTTGAAACCAGGCTCTGTGCACACATAGGCACGGGCACCCCCAGTGCAGTTTGTGATGACCTGCTGGAAATTTGGCTTTCACATGTTCTGCAGCTCTCCTTGGTCTCCTCTCTCCACACTTGGCATTGTCTAAAACCAGTTTCTATCCTCCAAAAAATACAGAACCAGACTTGGGAGGAAGAAGGGAGCAAAGACCAGCTTGAGAGGTTCACCAGAGGGACAAAATTTGCCTGTCCATACTTGTAAAGGTCTCTATCATTGGGACTGCCTTATTAGCAAAACAAAACCAACTCATTTTCTTTTAACCTAGTGTTTAAAGACTTCTTGGGGGAGATTACCACCAGGAGTGTGACACAGGCATAGGGGAATTGAGGGATTGAAAGTGAAGACTTTGCAGGGAGTATTGGACTATGATTTAGGACAGGAATGGAATTATTTATGCCAATAAACAAGGAGCAGGTTCTGTTCTCATTTATGCAGACATAAAGCATTTCACAGCAATAAAGAGCATTATTTGGAGTGAATTCTGGTCAAGCCTTCTTGTCTGGATGAATGAGAAGTGTCAATTTATGGCACGGTTATGGATGGAGGGGTGTGACAGAATTTCTTAGAAGTGATACCATGGGTAAAGGTGGAGTATTTTTTACACTTTGCAAAAAAAAAAAATTAACTTGAAATTTGTAGTAGCAAAAGACAATCTGTGCTGCATATATTTAAAACCAGTTTTCCATTATCAGTGATTGTGAGACAAATCCAACACTTTTTAAAGCTACAAGTCAGAAGGTCTTTATAAAACTCTGGTGCAGTGACTTACTTGAAGAGGGGAAAACACAATTCTTCCTACGCAGTCCCTAAAGGAGGTAAAAGACTGTCAGATTTCAGCCTCTGCAAAACTGAGAGGACACAATGGAACTGCCTCTCCTTGGCAGTATCTGCTTTCAAAGGTGTAAAAACTAGGCAGGAGAAAAGGATTTTGCAGAAAGAACTCGGAAAGGGACATTCAAAATAGAAACAACAGGGCTTCAAAAATAGGACACAATGAAAATTGCATCCCACAAAAAATTGTGTCTTGAAGTCCTGTTGATTTTGCTTCCTAATATCAAAGACCAGTCATGTATCTGTGCTGCAATAGGACCATAGGACATCATCTTCATCTGGAGTTCCTGCCTTTATATCATACCCTTCCGTGCCAAATTTCCAGCAGGCCTCAAAAAGTAATTGCAAACAAATAAGATAATAAATCTTTGTTATCTCTAACTTGGACAAAATTTGCAGCAAGCAGCTGGCTGGAGCAATGTTGACTTTAGCCTCAGCCAATGCAATTTCCATTCTTGTGGTCACTAGAAAACACATGCCACTAAGTCTGATTTAGGACCTGCTGACATGTCTTGCTCTACCAGAAGGCATCTCATTTTGCAACACGTCAAGGGCAAATCTGCACAATTTGCAGCCATTTCCCATTCAAAGATTTCTCTGTATGGAAGTCAAGGTCATCACTGGGTTCACTTTGCACAAAGAAATCTAGAGCCAAAAGGAGTTTGGGAGAGGGAAAAATTGCAGGAGGTAACAAAGAAATTGGTCAAATGGGAAAGAAAGGAACTGGCATGGCTGGAAGCCCAGGTTCCAATTGAGAAAAATGTTTTCCTCTCCTGAATGGTGAAAAATGGCAGGAAAAATTCTGCAGAGCGTTTCCCCACTCCTCAATCCCATGTGAAGACCTGCATGGTGGTCTTGAGCACTAGCAAAAGGATGATTTTATTTCCTGTCCACAGGCTCTCAAGACTGCACCCGCATCTCCCCTAAGGACAAAATAAGTCCTGGGTCTCCTACGGTTGCTGCTTCTCGTCAAGCAAGCATGAGGAGAGGAAAAGGCTGTGGTTCTCCATTCACCCCAAGCAAGTCAATGTTCAACTCCTCAAAGGCCACACAGAAATGAAATTGTCATCTAAGCATCCTTAACAGGCTCTTGATACAACATAGGGAAAATGTGGAGAGACAGGGTTTGAAATCACAGACAGAGCCCCAGCAGAAAACACACACGGGCTGTGGGCTGTAGATGCATGGGAGGGTTCAGAGGCACAACACTAGCCATGGTGTTCCAGCCTTCAGATGGATTCCAAACACACTTTTCCTGATCCACCCCCTTGCAAAATAACCCCACCAACCTATCCGTGTAATGGATCACTTTGTGGCTTTGTTTTGGTCCCAAAAGAAACTTTGAGCATCACTTTTCATCCTCACCTTACCCCAGCTGAACGTGCTGCTGAGGTTCCTCATAATGACACAATGACCTTGCCAAGAGAAAGCACTTTAACAACAATGAAATGGGGCAGACTTGGATTGGCACAACTTGTGGGCAAACACAGGCAAGAGGCTTCTGAAAGACCACAAAGAAGCACCTCTTAACTCAGCTTGAGGGATTCAAACAAAACCAAAGGATGTCCCAAGAACATGGGTGTGAGATTCTTGGCAGGGCAGAAGAAGAAAAGGAAGATTTTCACAGGGCATAGTGTGTGCAAAAGTGTTCAGGCACAATGCAAACTGTAAGAAAAGTGCCCGCTCTGACCAACCAGGGCTTCAAAAGGATGGAGCTCAGCACTTAACTCACAGCAATGCAGGGACCACAGCATCTTGCATATCCACCCTCTCCCTTTGGCCTGGTGGTCGTGCCTTCACAACAGCACTGCTGGCCACAAGAATGGCTTCACCCCGTGCCAGCCCTCTGGAGGAGTTGCCTTTGGTTTGCCTTTGCTTCCAAAGTGACTCCTGGTCCGTTGTCAATAGGAAGGGAGATAATTAAATATAATACATGATTTAAAACATAAAATTCCAGCCCCACAGTCTCTTGTCCTCTGTCTCGTTTCTCTGCCCTCAGGGTTGTCTCTCTTCTTGCATTCAAGCTCATATTTCTGAGTTTTCCAGTTTCCTAAGATGTGATCATTTCCAAACTGTTCTGGCTCAGAGTGGTATCCTAACCTGTCCCACTCTGAGGCCATATCTTCTGTCCATGCCAATATTCCAGCCACCATCCCTTTCCTCCAGGGCCTTACACAATGTTTCCATGTATTATATTGGAATTATTCCACCTTCCTGACAGTTAATGAGGAACCACAGAGTAACAACCCCCTGCAAGTACACAAGACCTGAAATCTAAACCAGAAATGGACACGTGTTCATTTTGTGACTCCAAAACACCTAAAGGTCTAACCACTAGAGTTGTGGCATGGCAATTCCCATGTAGGACTTGTCAGCCACCAGTTACTGTGATCTCCAAAATCCCTGGCTGGGTGATTTATTCCTACCCTGCACTTCTGAAGATTCCCAAGAAATGCAAATTGCCTACCCTGCACCATGAAATAATTTCACCTAATGATCTTAGAAAGAGAGTATGAAAGAAATCTGGACTTCATGGCTCCAGTTCGCTCACCACCGTGACCTCCTCCACAGTTGCAGGTTTGGACCTGCTCATTCCCCCCCCAGAGTAAACTGCAAGAAAGTATCCGCCAGCTAAGGATGTCCTAGAAGGAGGAAAACCTTAGCTGTCAATCTCCTTGAGAAGTTCAACGCGTGGACAGCTGGAGCGGGCGGCTGCCAGTGCTTGGACGTGGCTTGGCGGTTGTGAGAAGGCTTCACTGCCTGGGGGCTGACCAGCCCATGTCACTGAAAGGTCCCTCACCCGTGGCTGACCTGGGAGGAGGACCACAGGGTGTGCAGAGGTCAGAATCGGTGTCTGATTCCCCTTCTGCAATGTAGGGTCTGATTTTGGCCACGGCTGCATAGCAACCGTTGTTAAGGATGTCCAAATTCTCTTTGGACTGGGAGATGCTAAAGCCACTGAAAGAGCGCTCCAGTTCCTCGTGGTCTACCGAGGGGATGGAGATGGATGTGTCGCTGTCTCTCATGGCACTCTCGTGGTGTTTGGTTGTAATGTCTTCATTCCTCAGGTACTCTGCGCTCGCCCTGTGCCCACCGCTGTACGCTGACAAGGAGCGCTCGTGGGAGGGCGGAGGTGGGATGCGGACCAGAGAGCCGGGGTCTCCGACGGGTGAGGAGCCGTGGCTTTGCCGCTGGTAGACCTGCTGCTGGCATGACGTCGAGGGTGGGCATGCGTTGTTTGGGGCTGGCGGGGCAGAGAAGTTCTTCTGACCCATGGAGCTGGTGGACCTGATGATCTTGATGATGCAGCCATTCTTGTCAATGTGCTCCCTGCTGTCTTCAGGGCTGTGGTAGGGAGGTGCTGGGTCAGGTTCTTTGGACCCAAAATAAGCCTCTGTCTCTGTTGGTGGGATGCCCATCCGCTGCATGTAAATGTTCACCAGGAAGTCCAGCTTCTTCTCCATTGACTGAACCTGCAAAACACCAAAGTTTCAGTGCTATGGACTGCACACAGGTTGAAGCAAATTAACATCCTGAGAACAAGCAAATCCCAATCTACCTAGGCCTGAGTGTGGGTCTGGGCTTCATAGATGACCTCTACCTACACTGACCTACACCAAACTGAACCTTTTCATTAACATTTTATTGTCCTATTCTGAAAAAAAAAAAACCCTTTCTTTTCCACCTTTTTATGGTGTTTTCTTTAAGCTTCTGGAATCTTTTTGACACACTCCACTCACATCCTTCCAGTTGCTTTCGGCTTCTTACTGCATTTGGTGCTTGCCTGGACTCAGATGGCCATAAGGATTTCTAAGCCTTATCCTCTGAGAAGATTTTAATCTTCAGCAAGACCAGCAGCTACAGCAGCCAAGCTCATGGACTCATTTGAACCGTGTCTAGTATGGTGGCCAAAAAATCAATGTACTGTTTTAATAAATAACGTAGACTTACGTTATTTATGAAAATAATAAATAGATTTTGGTAGACTTACCAAAAAAAGAAGGTCTACATGTCATAGACTTCAAAGTGCCTGTTTTGAAAGTAGTGCTTAGGTTTCTAAGACATTTAGTGCCCTTTCAAAACATCCACTTTGTTTCTTTTTCAAAATATTCTTAGCTCTTACTTTTTTTTCTAAATGGTAATGTCCCATGGGGAAAAAATAAGGCAAGAAAAAAACAACATAATGGATGCAACACCCTCTGATAAGAACTCCCTCCCCACCCAATGTACCTGTTTTTCAACTTTTCCAAGCCTGCCCATCATGCTGGGGTCTTCAGGCAGCTCTCCCTCCGCTGGTCCTTTGGTTCGATCTTTGTCGGTCATGGAGGATCCTCTCCCAACAATCTGGTCAACCCTACCAGGATCAGAAAATCCCCCCACCCCCGGAAAAGGACACGGAGTCAGTTGGAGGCAGCAGGTGAGGAGGGCTCCGCTCGTCGCACCTCCGTGGGACAAAGCAACAGCCTCTCTCCCAACTAACACTCCCAGTTACTCACAGACACGCGGTGGCACTGAAGTGTTAATTCAGATGCAAAATTCAGAGCAGTATTAGCAGAGTTTAGAATTATCCATTTCTGTTTATACAGATAAAACCTGGCACATTATGCACAGTAAATTTACCCACTGCAAAGAATTTCTTTGACTGGCTTTCTTCCAAATCCATTAACTTCTTATTTGTATTGAGAGACTATTATTTTGGGGGAAGATCAAATTTTCTTTCTAGCATATATCAATGGGATATTTTTCAGTCATTGCAGCAGTTTCCTCTCTTCAATGTAAATCTAAGTGTGTAATTCTCATGTCTATGAAAACGAGCTGCTTGACCCAAAATCCAGACAAACAGTCATAGTGCTGTCTTACTGGAGTAATGTTAAGGATGAATTTGGTCATAACTCACCAAACGTTAACAACTTGTCTTCGTCTCATTGCTACAGTAATTCACACCTGTACCATCAGAGGCTTTCTGTCAGCAGCACTCCAAGCCAGTAACAGCAGAGGACGCTCCTGCCAAATCAGCAGCTAAAGCTACTGGACAATTGTTTGCTACTAACTTCTTCACACACATTACATTTGCAACTCCTCCTCCTCCCCTTCCCTGATATACAGCTTATATATGCAGTTGATATGCAGAGGGAGAAGAAGAGCAGAGCCAATTTGAAAGTTGGAAGTCAATTTTATGAGGTATCAAATTATAAATTTTCTAGAGAGTAAATACTGGAGCTTCTTGATCCCTCAAAAGTCAGAGGAACAACTCCATTTTGGAATAGCTTCTCCATGGCAGCCCAGTTGCCAACACAAGTCTATGCCAGGTAAATTTTACTCTTGCATAATGCACCAATCGTAAGGGTGGCAGTGGAAAAGAAGGGTTAATTAATCTGACTGAAACCAGGTCAAGGTATCTTGAGCGGAAAACTCAAAATGCTTCTTACGCAGTTCTGCCGTGTGGGCCATGGGTCCATGCACCAGGAAGAGGAAAAGGAAGGAGCTGAACACAGACAGACAGGGGAAAATGAACAAACAAAAACCAAGGAAAGGGATGAGATGTGAAGCTATTTCCCACACAGGAGCCACCTGTTTTCTTTACATTTAACAGGGACTTAATATGTATGTTGGCTGTTGACATTAAGGGACAGATATTGGTGGGTATGGACCAGTGTGGCTCCCTTGGCTTGTATTAGAGCAACAGCAGTTTACAGCCTCAGAAGATCTGGCTCCAAGAGAGGAAGTGGATGAGCACATGACACCAAAGACAGAAAATAGAAGCCAACAATTATTCTAGAGTTTATCTTTGATCCCAGAAGACACTTCATTTGGGCAGGGATGTGACAGAACACCGTCCTGTTTACAGAGTTCTATTTGATCCTTTGCTCAGCAAAATAAGCACAGGAGTACAAGGAGCACCAAGTGCTCTAATTACAAGTGTGAGGAGTACACAGGCCTTACTTCTCTCTTGTAATGGGAGAAGGAAATTATTGACACCTCTAGGAACTCCCCACAAGGGATGCAATCACTGACATGACATACAGCACAAGAAATCCTACAACAGTGTTGTTACTATGGATTAAATTAATAAATATCATGTAAGCAAAGAGGTATTAAGTTGGATACCTTGGACTAGCTTGGTTTGGAATCACAAGTTAAGGTGTAGTACAGTCAATGTATGAATTCCTCTCCTGTAAGCACAAGCAAGTAGACTAGTAGAACAATGAACATGCATTTAAAGAGGACCAAAGTCTAATTGCTACTGAATATTGCAGAAGGCCAAGAAAAACCAGGGTGCTCTGCCCCTGTGTCCCATCTAGCACAACACTAACACTGCAACATGTCCACTAATGGAAATTAGATGTCCTTCAACAGTTGCTGAGTAGAGCAGGGAAGCAGGACAGACTGCAACATAGAGAGGAAAATTCAACATTGCCATGCTATGGTGTATCCTAACAGCAGAGATAGTCTTGTGCAACCCTATTTCTAATCTTGCAGAAACTGAGGAAGGACTTCTGCTCTATTCCATGTCCTTAAGAGAAGAGCTATCCAGTAAGTGAGCCTCATATGACCCATGTGAAGCACAGGAGGCCAACTGGCACTCCCCAGATGGAGTGATCACTAGTATCCTATAGAAGAGCATTGACTTCTTCCATCACCTTCAGGCTGGACAACACTTGCCTGTAGACCTTCTGTGATTTAAAAGCAGGACTGAAGCCCTTCACAGAGCTCACCCATAAAGCATTCAGAAGCCCTTGCCCTATATACCATTGATACCAGAGCCCAGGAGAATTCCTGCTTGATTCTTTCCCTTTGTGTCTATAATTTAACATAGTCTTGACTCCCAAGCTGGTCATCTTCCACAGCTCTGAGAAACCAGAGAGATAGATCTCACCTTGGAGGCAGGATCTACACTGAGGATGGTACACTGGGGAGCTGTGGGCAACTTACTTTGGTGCAGAGAGGGGAGAAGAAGGTGAACCAAGTCCTTCTCTCTTGATGGGAGAAACCAGGCTCAAAGTCTGCCACTCCTTTGTTTCCCATGGCAGAAGTTAGACCAGAGAAGTGCTCCTGCCCTCAGCAAAGGGCAAAGATTTCATTTGTGCCTTATCTCATACAAGAGAAGAGAGGAATTTCCTCATGAGCTCCCAACCCACCTGTACATAGCTGAGCACTGCAAAGAGCAGGAGGTCCTTTTAGCCATCATAAGAGTTTGAGGTTTTGTCCAAATTGGGCAGCAAAGCTCAAAAGATGAAGAAGAGAGAACATATTCCACCTTTGCAAGCAGAAGGGGATATTGTATGTTCCTACAGCATGACAAAGGACCGTGAATCTTCTGAGATGCCAACCCCCACTTCTGCACTACATCCCATGGGGAACCTTGTGTCTTCCCAGCCCTTATTTTGGCTGTGTCAGATACACATGTGCAGAGGGAAGGATTCAGCTGAAGCTTTGGAAGAGTCAGTCTCATGTTTTTTTTTTCCTTCTTGGCAGAAGAGGATTCAGAGATTTCTAAGGATACAGGACAAACTGTGCCATCTGCTGTCCTTGATAGGCTCTGCTGGGTCTTAAGTTTGGGAGGGAGAGAGAAAGGGGATTGCTCTTTAAAGTGAATTTTGATATCTTTCCTTTTTTTCTAATGATACAACAAAAACTTAAAGTCTTGCGTCAGCCACAGTGCAGGTTTTCTCATGCTTCATTCTGCTTCATGCTACCAGTGCATGCAAAGAGGTGTAATATGTCACCCTCGGGCCAGAAGCAGACATCAAAAGATCAAACGGCTCAAATGAGATAAAAATGAAGTGTTTGGGAATATATATTAAATTATTTCTTTTTTTTTTTTTTTCTTTATCTCTTATAATTTTTTTTTTGTACACAATCCAGGCATTGAAGCCAAACCCCCTTCATCCAGGTCACAGGACTGGCTACTTACCTCCTCATTTGAAAATAGAGTTTTAGACACTTTTTGACCAATATCTGTTATCTGAAAATTAAAGCTGAGGTTGCATCTATTCTATATTAAATCAACTCATCAGGGGATTTTCATCCAAATTGTCCTTGTGCACAGCATGGAGCCAACACCTTCAGCCAAACCACAGCTGTGGACATCCAGTAGTCTCCAGCTGTCTTTGGTGGGAGCTACTTACAGAAAACTTTTGGCTGAACTGAGCCCTTGTCATTAGAGCACCACAATGCAATCCATGGGGTTCAGACAGCTCATAGGACATCACTCGATTCTTTCCCCCTCACTTTGTGTTTTCTCACGATCTGGGCAGCATTTGGCTAAACCAAGGGTGTGCAGGCTAAAAAGGAAAGGCTGGTGGAGCCCATGGGGACCCCATGGCACCTGCCCCCATGGCACGAGTCCCAGTGGCATGGACCTACATGGTGCTGAGGTGATGAAGTTCAACACAGCAGCAGAGCTGAGTTTTTGGATTTGGGCTTGAGGCTGCTTGGACCTCTGCTTCCCATTCATTGGGCACCTTGGAAGTCCCACTGGTGTCTGTAGGAAGATGCAGCTGCCAAAAATTAAGCACATCTTAAGCCTTTTAATGGGGAGGAGAAGAGATTTCAGTAGCCTTCTGTGCTCTACTGCTTTCTGGAGCTTCTCAGTCACAGCTCAATAAAAAAGAAATGAGAAAATTCATTTAAAAAGGAGCAATTATAAAATGTCCCAGGAGCCTACTGGGCATGTGCAAACAGATTTTAAATCTGACCATCAGTATTAGCAAAATACTGTGGGGGAAAAATCATTAACATTACGCTGATATAGCAGCAGACTTGGAGTGAATAAAATAAATATCCCAGTTTGAGGCCTCCCCCTCTAATATCCATCGACCACCTTTGCTGTGTACAAGGCACAAGCTTTAACACAAAAATCTTACCTCTACTGAAGGTTTGTTGTACACCTAATCTTACAGGTTAAATACAACAAAATCCACTCGAATATATATATTTTATAGTAAAATCAAAATGCTGCTGCAGATAAGAAAGTTATTTCATTTTTAAAGACTAGTTTTGGGCTTTATCATTTGGTGGGGAGGAGAAATGGGAAAAATGCTTTTCCAAGAACATCTTTTTTTCTGAGCATAAAGCTTGGGGCTTCTGGAAAAATATCTTTTTTTTTAATCTTTGAGCTAGCTGAGTGGGAAAAGGTAAGCTTTCAATATTCATTTTATTCACATTCCTCTAGTGAAGATTACTCAGAGCAGCTTAAGTAAAAAATCAAGAGATTCATCACGTATTAGCTCTTAGGGAGGGCAAGTATAATTTAGAAAAAAAATATGTGGGTCTAAGCTTGCTGCATTTAAAAATCACCTACTATCTGTGCATGGAAAATTACTTTCTGGCAAATATTTACATGTGTCTTGGGCTCCAGTGGTCTCAATATAAGGTGAAAATAGAGGTCAGCTCATCACCCTGCTG